AGCCTTCGACGTGGAAACCTTTTCGGGGGCAGCGCGGCGGTCAAGCCAGAGACTACTCGCGAGCACGGCAGCGTGCAAGAAGCAATGGATCATTGCTTCCCTCGACATCAACATGGCCTTCCTGAAAGGGTTGGCCTGCCAGGAACTTGCTGCGGCAACTGGTGAAAAGGAATGTGTGGTGTGTTTTACTTTGCCGCCTGGATCGGCCGCGGTGCTTCGGACTCTCCCAGGATTCGAACACTGCGATGAGTCAAAGCACTGCTTGCAGTGCCTTTAACCAGGCACAGGCACCAAACGACGCACCCCGAGCTTAGTCACTAAAGCTCAGAAGGACCACAAGAGGTTCTGGTCTCCGACCCACGTCCTACGACGAGGAGTTCGAGACGAGCAGCAACTCTTGTACGGCCAAACATGTTGATGATATCAACATGGCCGGTATTGAGGACACCATTGACAAGTCTGTCAAGTACGTAGAAGACACCTTTGGTAAATTAAACTCAACAAGCACACATGCACCAATTGTGCTGTGAGATATTCCAAGGATGGAGACGGCAATGTTACTATGGACCAGGACGAGTACAGCAATCAGCTCCGTCCCATGCAACATCCTGAACTTACCGGCGCCGACGCGGACGCTCAGGCATCCAATATGGTTGCATGCGTGTTCGTCAGCCTCAGAGGCGCGCTGGCGTATGCATTAATCACCCGGCATACTTGAGTTGGGTGGCCTGAGCATCAAGGTCACCTTGACCATAGATCCTGAGTCTGTTTTTAAGTCCTTGTCAAGCAAAGGCTTGAAGAAGCCGACTGAGTGTACCCGTTGAGGACACATCAGTTGGATACGACAGACGATGGAGCGTGGAATCGTACACAGGTATTCAGTGGTGTGACGCCCGCGATATGACTGCGGACGGTCACACCAAGGGGAGCATCGACAGAGGGATGCTCCTACACGGCATAGGAGGTATTCAATCCTTCAAACATGATTTGAAGAGTCATACTCCCTATCGGGCTGGCCAGACATCCTGTTCTGTAGCCGCCTGAGGAGTATCTTTCTGTACAGAATGGTACAGGCAGGGCAACTTGCGTGCGGTCCACCTTCCTTACGGCCCCGCCCTTTTGCTGCCCATTTGTAGATCGTAGCTGCTGTGCCTGCTTTATAGGGGCGGCGCGCTCACGCTTCGTATCCCTCCCCCCCGACTCTAAAGTGAGCTGGGGACACAGGGAGCGGAAGCGAGCGTGTTCCCGCGGCCGCGTCGGCTCAATCGGCCGGCCGCCCACATGTCATTGTGCCTCATTGCGAGGCATATTTTTCACCATCGATACCAACATGTTGCTTGAGATGGCTCGCCCCCTACTACTGGGACTATCGTTTCTACGGTACAACAGAGCGGGAGCTGGGCTTCGCCTGAAGCGAAGTGTTGGTTGGGTCCCCCAACCCCTTTCCGACTTCATCGCCGAGGCCGCTTTGGACGCTCTGACTACTCGCGACCCCCCCCGTCCAGGTCCAGGGCAGGCGGTCGGGGGAGGGAAAAACCCTTCCCCGAAGGGCAAAAAGTCGGGGTGGAAGAGGAAACGCTCTAAACCACCGACGCCCAGTTTGCTGGTGGTATTGTAAGTCCACACGAACGTGGTGCGGCCAGATCGGCGACTGTGCTTTGGAGGGTGATTGTCCTGTGTTTCAGATTCTCCTCGAGGGAGGCGGGGCGAGGGACGAGGGCGATACCCGTACCCATGCCCCCTTCCATGGCCATGCCTATGCCGAACCCGCCATCGCAGCCATAACCCATACACCATACGAGTGCCATACCGATATCCGTACGCACGCCCATGACAATGCTCATAGCTGGCTCCTTGCACAATGGCCCCAGCAACACGCAGAGTAGTAACGACACTCGCCCATTCCCACACCCACGTGCCCTGTAACGATTTCGCCTTACTCATATGTTCGCCCATGACCATGCCCAGACGCGCACCACTATGCACGCCAACGCACGTACACGTAAGGCTGACATGCCCGTGTGCATTCATGCCCTTTTCCCCCCACGCTGCCGACGAGACTCGTGCGTGTTCATACCCAGGCTCAACACACCTTCTGATGCTATGCAATTGAAGCCCAGAGCGTTCTCCATATCCATCGCCTTTCATCGGCAATTCTAGACGCTTCGCGTATCCCCACCAGCCCGTCCAGAAATGAGTCCCAGGGGAGTGGAGGTTATGAGGGAAGCGGGGGAGCATGCAGAAAAACAAAGGGCGGGGTGAACCGCCATATATCCCAAGAGGGGGAGGATGTAGGAGGAGCCGTCGTCGTCGGAGTAGGAGGAGGAAGAGGAGGAGCAGGAGGAGGAGCAGGAGGAGGAGGAGGAGGAACAGAAGGAGGAGGAGATGGAGGACTGCGAGGACGAGGAGGACGAGAAGGAGGAAAAGGAGAAGGAGGAGGAGGAGGAGGAGGAGGGAGGAGGGGGAGGGGGAGGAGGGAGGAGGAAGAAAGGAGGAGGAGGAGGAGGAGGAGGAGGACAATTGCGAGCTTGGGGGCCTCTTGGGCCGTCCTTGGGGCCTCTTGGCGGTCCCGGGGGCCTCTTGCGTATCTCGGGGAGCCTCTTGTGGCCTCTTGGGGGTCTCTTGGGGGCCTCTTGGAGGCCTCTTGGGGGCCTCTTGGGGCCTCTTGGGGCCCTCTTGGGGCGCTCTTGGGGCGCTCTTGGGAGCCTTCGAGGCGCTCTTGGGGCCATCTTGGAGGAGATCTATCAAAGAAGGGGGGGTCCCCAATTAGCGCTGCTCCTCTAGAGTGCCTCGAGTCGCCTTTTAGGCCCCCCCAAGAGGCCAAAATCCTTCCAAAACCTAGGTAAAATCATTGTTTTTTGTTTTCTCGCCTTTTCGCTCTTGGACCCGTCTTGGGAGCCTCTTATGGCCTCTGGGGGGTCTCTTGGGGGCCTCTTGGAGGCCTCATGGGGGCCTTTTGGGGCCTCTTGGGGCTCTCTTGGGGCGCTCTTGGGGCGCTCTTGGGAGCCTTCGGGGCGCTTTTGGGGCCATCTTGCAGGAGATCGATCAGAGAAGAGGGGGTTCCCCAATTAGCGCTGCCCCTCTAGAGTGCCTCGAGTCGCCTCTTGGGCGCCCCAAGAGGCCAAAATCCTTCCAAAACCTAGGTAAAATCAATGTTTGTTGCTTTCTCGCCTTTTCGCTCTTGGAGCCGTCTTGGGTCATCTTGGACTCTCTTGGGGCCTCTTGGGGGTCTCTTGGCAACGTCTTGGAGGCTTCTTGGGGGCCTCTTGGGGTCTCTTGGGGCCCTCTTGAGGCGCTCTTGGGGCGCTCTTGGGAGCCTTCGGGGCGCTCTTTGGGCCATCTTGGAGGAGATCTATCAAAGAAGGGGGGGTTGCTTATTAGCCCCGCCCCTCCAGAGTGCCTCGAGTCGCCTCTTGGGCCCCCCCAAGATGCCAAAATCCTTCCAAAACCTAGGTAAAATCAATGTTTTGTGTTTTCTCGCCTGTTCGCTCTTGGAGCTGTCTTGGGCCATCTTGGACGCTCTGACACCTCGCGACCGGCCCCGTCCAGGTCAGTGGGGAGGGGTAAGGGGAGGGGTAAACCCCTCCCCGAAGGGGAAGAAGGGGGTTGGCAGAGGAAACTCCCTAGACCACCTACGCCCTAAAGGGCTGGTGGGATTTCAGCTGCATTTACATCGTCCAATATCCGCGCCCAATCCCGTGCCAACTTGCTCAACAATTAATCATGCCAATGTCCCTACGTAGAACGCAGTTCACTGCACCCCCGACGTGCACCTTGCTCACAGAGGCCCCAGACAGGGTTTTCATGTATAATCTAAGCGCGCGAAGCTCCCGCGTGCTTCTTGCATGGCTGTATGGACTTATATGTAACTATGTACAAACATGTGTAACATGTGTGTGTGTGTGTGTGTGTGTGTGTGTGTGTGTGTGTGTGTGTGTGTGTGAGTGTGAGTGTGTCTGTGTAGGTTTGCGTATGTATACATATAACTGTATCCACATCTATAAACAGAGCTGTGTATACACAGCTCACCACGATATAACAGATGACGAGAGGGTTCCACGCGAGGGGGTGCTACCAGACATTGTCCGATCTATAGCGCCGTAGGTGTCGCTCCGGAAAAGGGTACCCAAGAGGTTGCACAGTGTGAGTATCATGTGCCCACGGTATTTCTTTACCCAATGAACACTGTGTGGTGGGGCTCTTCGGGGGGAGCGGCCCCGAGGCCTGTCCCGATGCGGTCGGCTTGTGTTGTGGCGCTAGCTGTACCTGGTCTGACCTCTCTAGGCCCGTCCTGAAGCGGCCAGTCGGCTTCCATCGTGAAGTGCACCACCGATGTTTGAAGCTGGAAAGGGCCCCTTGGGAGTCGCTCGCTCTCTCTCTCTCTCTCTGTCTTCGAGGCCTGTCCCTGGGAACTGCCGAATTGCAGCTGATTTACAAAGGCAGTTATAGCGACGTTGAAAAGTTGGAGATGGGAAGATTTGACGCCAATTTTGATAGGGGTTTTCATGGTGCGGGAGGCGCTTGCAGGCCTATCGAAAAGTGGCCCCATCGCAAGATGCTGTGGACTGGATGCAAGTGTCACGCCCTGCGGGTTAATAACACAGAGAAGCCATCTTTATTTGTAGTGGTGGTGGCGATAATGATCTGATGGCGGTGATGCGTCCACATCCGCGAGTGGCGCAAATACATACTGGTCTGACAGTTTGACATGATCAGGTCCCCTGCGCGACTTGCCACCGACAAGGCCATTGGCACAGGCACAGGCGGCCGAGCTGCTTTGGGCAGTCAGCATCTCCAGGGCTGGCGGGGATTGTAAGTCCGACCGAGGGTGGATCGTGTTCATTACCCAGCTTTGCTCTGCCGTGACTCCAGCTTTCTCCTTGCTGGCCCGTCGCGATGAAGTCACATTGAAATCGATCTTGATGTCTCTGGGGTTTTTGTGTACTACGACCACTGTCTCACAATGCCATGCTGTTCTTTGACAACCTGATTCGCGCGAGGAAAAGTCCTAAGCAGTGCAAGGCCAGATGGTACGAGTGGCTTGACCCCACCGTGAAGAAGACGGAGTGGACGCGAGAGGAGGAGGACCGCATTCGGACATGACGACTGCTTCTCTACCCCAGAACATCTGACCCCACCAGCCGTGGGTCTGATATTTTTTCCCACATCCTAAGTGGGGTTCTTGTTTTCTCTGCACACCCTCCGCGCAGGATCTCTCCTCCTCCTCCTCCTCCCTCTCCTCTGCTCCTCTTTGCTTCCTCCTCCGCATCATCATCACCATCACCATCACTCCCCACTCATCATCATCATCACCATCAGCATCACCATCACCATCGCACGATCACTCACCATCATCGGCATCGAACGATCATCATCATCATCATCATCACTACTCGCTGACTCACCACTTCGTCCCCATCATCATCACCACCATTTACCATCATAATCGCACGATCACTCACCATCAGCACTCATCATCACCACCATCATCATCATCACGTCGTCATCATCACCACCACATCATCATCATCATCATCATCATCATCATCATCATCATCATCATCATCATCATCATCATCATCATCATCATCATCATCATCATCATCATCATCATCATCATCATCATCATCATCATCATCATCATCATCATCATCATCATCATCATCATCATCATCATCATCATCATCATCAATCATATATCATCATCAAACACCGTCGTCATCATCCCATCACCATCATCCACCAAGAGGGAGCCTCGCCTGTGAGTGAATTGCGAGGAAGTCTCAGGCGGGAGCCCCCTCCCTATGGGGCCCGCAGATCATGTTACTAACCCGAGCGGGTCATCGGATTCCTGTAACTGTCGTCACTCTTGGGCTCTTCAGGCCTGATTATGGAAGAAGTATCAGGCGGGAGCCTCGTCTGTGAGTGAATTGTGAGGAAGTCTCAAGCGGGAGCCCCCTCCCTATGGGGTCCGCAGATCATGTTACTAATCCGAGCGGGTCATCGGATTCCTGTAACTGTCGTCACTTTTGGGCTTCAGGCTTGAATATGGAGGAAGTATCAAGCGGGAGCCTCGTCTGTGAGTGAATTGTGAGGAGGTCTCAGGCGGGAGCCCCCTCCCTATGGGGCCCGCACTTCATATTCGAATCCGAGCGGGTCATCCTCAAACCTGTAACTGTCGTCACTTTTGGGCTCCTGAGGCCTGAATATGGAGGAATTCTTCACGCTTCCCGTATCCCCACCAGCCCATCCCCAAACAGCAACTCCAGCGAAGCATGCCGACAGTCGTGTTTTTCAGGCGTATTTCTGCCTGCTCTCGCATATATACCCTGTTCCTATGTCCTCCTGCCGCCTTGTACATCCACCTAGTGGGGGGAGCGGGAGGAGGACGAGTCCGAGGAGGAGGAGGGAGAGAAGGTGTTGGGAGGGAAGACAGAGGGCAGTCGTCGTCGTTTCACACACGTGAACGAGTCAGACGACTCAAATGACGGCGACGCCTCAGACGATGACGGCGACGACCACTACGACGACGACGACGACGACGATTACGATGACAACGACGACGTCGGCGACGACGATGCAGGCGACGACGACGACGATCCAGCGTTCTCCCCCGACTAGAATTAGTAGTGGTAGTAGTAGTAGTAGCAGCAGAAGTAGCAGTAGTGGTCGTAGAAGAAGAAGAAGTGGAAGTAGTAGGAGTGAGAGTAGTAGTAGTAGTAGTAGTAGTAGTAGTAGTAGTAGTAGTAGTAGTAGTAGTAGTAGTAGTAGTAGTAGTAGTAGTAGTAGTAGTAGTAGTAGTAGTAGTAGTAGTAGTAGTAGTAGTAGTAGTAGTAGTAGTAGTAGTAGTAGTAGTAGTAGTAGTAGTAGTAGTAGTAGTAGTAGCAGTAGTAGTAGCAGTAGCAGTAGCGGTAGAAGTATGAGTAGTTGTTGTTGTTGTAGTAGGAGTCGTGGTGGTAGCGGTGGGAGTAGCGGTAGAAGTCGTAGTCGTTGTCGTTGTCGCAGTGCTTGGGGATATACTAGGGCCTTCTTGGCGATATGTGGAGACATCTTGGGGATATACTAGGGCCTTCTGGGCGATATGTTGGAGGTCTCGGAGCCCTTTGCGGGCTCTCCCGGGGCGCTCTTAGGGCCCTCTTGGGGCTCTTTGGGAGGGGTCTGGGAGGTATCTTGGGGCCATCTTTCGGGCGATCGATCACAGATGGGGCGAGCATTTTTCCCCCCCCCCCCCGTCAGCGAAGATTTGGGTCTGATATAGGGCATGTGTAGTATCTGTTCTTATCAGTTGAGAGCATTGCTTAGCTTCGCTTAGAGGGCTGTATGACTGTAATAACATCGGGGCTCAAGCTCTTTGTAAACAGAGCGATCTCCGCTCTGGTAGCGGAGCCGCCCATCGGGCGGCGCGCGCGCGGCCCCGCCCCGGCAGGCCTTCGCGAGCCGCGATATCTTCGCGGACCCGGTCATCAAGCAGGTGATCAGCGTTACCAAGGAGGTGCGCAGCGCTACCAAGCAGGTGCGCAACATCAACAGCGTCTTCGACGTGATTATTCCCTACAGCGACCTCCTCAGCGCTACGGCCTGGCGAGGCTTCACACCCGGTAAAGTTAACGATATCCCGATTGACATCACACCCGGTAAAGTTCACGATATTCTATTATTCTACACCCGGTGAAGTTCACGATAGTCTACGTCTTTCACACTCGGTGAAGTTCAAGATAGTCTACAGTTCTCACACCCGGTGAAGTTCAAGATAGTCTACAGTTCTCACACCCGGTGAAGTTCAAGATAGTCTACAGGTATCTCATTGTGAAGTTCAAGATAGTCTACGGTTGATACCATGGTGGACTACTCACGACCTCAGACTCTACCCCTGGAGGAGAGTACACGGCAGGTTCCTCCCGGCTGGAAGCCGGGCGTTCCGAAGTACAGCGTGAAGAAATACTTGCAAAAGTTGTCTTTGTGGTGGAGAACCAAAAACGTTGATGACGACGGAGTGGCAGCTCTTCTTGTGTTGCAGCGTCTTCAAGGAGGAGTGTACAAGCAGGCGTTGAGGTTCAAGGTTGAACGAGACGGCAGAGAGTACATCGGAGAAAACGCGTTCGCCCTGGAGAGAACGGAGGCAGACGAGCTACACGGAGCACAAGCGCATCCCTCAGGACTTTCTCTCTTCACTCGTTGGCTTGAAGGCGAATATGGACTGCACGATCAAGACACAGTCGGAGTTGCACTCGACAAATTCTTTTCATTCAAGAGAGGGCCCCGAGATCTCGGGCAATACATTTCAGATTTCGAACTTGTGTATGATGAAGCGGCAGACCAAGCAGGACTCAATATCAACTCAGTTGGACGGAGTTACTTGTTGCTTCAGGGATGCGACCTCTCCATCAAGAAGGTCGACGACATCGAACTCAAGATCGACGGGAACCTCAGACGGTATAATGACATCAAAGCTATCATGACGCGTCTCGCCAAGCAGTCACTGGCCCAGAACAACCCAGAACAGTGCGAGGGCTTCTGGGTCGACTCAGATGAAGAAGAGTACTGGGATTACTACGGCTACTACGACGACTACGGCCAGTGGCAGTACTACGAGGACGACGAATGGTGGGACGAGGAAGAACGATATGACGAGCAGTATTCTCCACCTACGGCTTCGGCAGCAGATGGCGAGGCGTGCAAGGGATCCGGCAAGGGCAAGAAAGGAAACCCAGGCAACTGCAGCAAGTGCGGCTCGAGATGGCATCGATCTGAAGACTGCCCTGCCGGAGGCAAGAAGGACGCCAAGAAAGGCGACGACGACGAAGGGAACGGCAAGAGCAAGTCGGACTCGAACAACGGCAAGGGCAAGTATCGTGGCGGAAAGGGCCGCGGTCGAGGCAAAGGACGAGGAAAAGGTTACCGTGGCAGAGGCAAAGGCAAAGGCAAGAAGAGCAAGGGCCACTACGGTGATGACTACGACGAGGAGTACTACGACGATGATTGGGACTGGAGTACCACTCACGGCAGTTGGTACGCGACGAGAACCAAGACCCTGAACAAGGACGCGCTGTGGACCTTCACCACTCGAGCAGAAGTTCATCATGGTTCATCCTGGTCTTCACTGCAGACAGTACCCTCCTACAGCCTGGACGACCCGGAGTCACCAGACATGGGACAAGGATTTCAAGAGACCTCCTCAGCGTCAGCATCGAAACCCACCTCGGCTCCTTCGGCACAGGCAGCAGGACCAGCATCACCAAGACCGACTCGGAGAGCTACGACTGGAGACTTCATGTCAGACATGGGCTCTCCTGGTCATGCCTCTACCTTTGACGATGACGAGGAAGCCGAACCCCGTCGCCTACCTCGCGGAATCGTTCCTGGAGGCTTGGATTTTCTTGTCAGAGAAGTTCAGAACTTGTGCGACGAAGATCAAGTATCACAGCAGAACAATCACAACGTGCACGAGGTCAACACGAGCTATCATTCTATCAAAGGCACCAAGAGGTTTGGTCTGCTTTACGATCCTGGCGCGTCGTCAGGCATCATCGGCACGGACGCGGTACGGGAATATCAGCAGGAGATTCTCGGCGGCGCAGAGATCGAATCCAGACCAACCCGAGCTCAGTTCACGGGCATCGACGGCAAGCCTACACCCGGCATCGGCAAGGCGATCGTACCACTACGCATCCCAGCCATGAAGGACGCGACGTTCACGGGAGACATGATCGGAGGCATGGGAAGCTGGTGCCCGGCTCTGATGCCATTGCCAACCTCGATCAGATACAGGGCCATCATGTTCTCGGCGATGTTCGACAACGGTGACGGCATCCTGGTGATCTTCCCTGACAATCGACGACTTGGCAATCGAGCTACACCAGTGTATATCAGGCTCCTGTTGACGGACTCTCGGCACTACATCATCCCGACGGACAGCCGGCATATCCGAGAAGAAGTTGATCAACAATATCTTCATGGAGTTCTTCTGGACCATCTTCAAATATTCTGGGACTTCAAACCATCCCGCTCTGGAGGCAGATCGGCGGAGTTTCAAGTGGATACAGCGCCCGCGGACACTAGCACCGGAGCGAAGTCATCGACTTTTT